ATTTAAAGAAAACGAGTGAGGGCCTGATCTATACACAAGGGAGAGGTAGAACTTTTATTTCTCCTACTAATCATTTGTGGTAACTCTTTCTCTCTGGAATCTCAATCTTTTTTTAAAAAAAAATTAAAAACATATCTTAGTATTTAAATCAGCTGCCCCCTGAAACAGTGACTAAAAGCATTAGTACCAAACAGAATAAATGGTGGGGCATGGGACTGAGCTATAGTTTTTTCTACCTCACTGTGTCCATAAAACAAGCTTTCACACAAATGCCAGAGATTTAAAACAGCAACACTTGCCTCTCAAGACTGATCAGTGCAATAATGCATCACTGCTGATGTTCATTTCAGATGCCTTACTAAGCCTCAAGAACAAAAAAAAACTGATTACACATTTGGAGGACACTTTTTAAAACAACTGCTATGGAAACGTTGGAAGTCACTGAGTATTCACTTAGTACATCATCTTTGGACATAATTTTAAAACTTCTGTTTTTCTTTATAGGTATCACATACAGGAAAAACAAGCCCCCAAACAATAACTGAAGGCTAGTTATTTTAAATGTATAGAAGAGAATAGGAAAGAGAAAGGGCTGCTCTGGACATGGGTATTTGATGGGGATTCCCATTCAGTGCTAGATCTTGCACATAGACAGCCCCTAATCTCTGTAGGGCTTGGTTCTGCCCTGAAAGGTGATACAATGATGAGATGGTATTAAAAGTGTCTTATTTCTAACAGAAGAAATAATTCTAATCTCAGTGTTGACTGCAACTACTTTATGACCAGGATGATCTTTCACTGATTATATATAAATTATTGTTTCTATTCTAAAACTCATATTTTAGTGGTAGAACATATTTCTATATGTGTAGTATGAAGGAAATGCAGATGTGCAAAATGAGATATTTTAAATAAGGAGATAATGGCCTCAAACAGGATAATACGGACTACAACTAGATATCCATCTCCTAAAGCATATTGAAATATAAAAGGGAGTAGAGCCTTTCAAATTGATTTAAAAATAGAGTAATATTGTGGGGTGGAAAGAGCAAGAACTGCAAAACTTAGCAAGATTTGACAAGAAAACCAAATACGTTATGACTTGGCATCAGATTTTTGGAAGACAAAGACCTATAGTCATGTTAGAGGCAAGATCCCAATTTCAATGAAGCAAGAATGTATGTGTGAGATTAGTAATTTTCCAGTGGTAAAACTAGTTGTATAGCAAAAAAATAAAAATCAGGTGGATACTAGTTTCTTGGAGACAAGTAATAGAATTATGGTAGTAAAGTTAAAGACAAGAACAGTGCAGTTGACCAAGAGAACAAGAAAGGGTGAGTGAGAGCTACAGGAAACAGGTACTGTATTCTACACTTATGAGTGACAACTCTTGTTTGCAGGATGTGATGGTAACTTTGTGCAGGAAATTGAAGAGAATGTTCATTTTATGAAATAAAATGTTGGAAAATAGAGACATAAAAGATACATTACCCAATATATTTTTTGTTAATGTGGTATGAAAAGATTGCAGTTTAGCGAACAGGATTTTCACTTTGACTAAGAAAAATTCATTAATTCTAGAATAAACCACTCACATTAATCACTGTTCAAAAACACATAGTACTAGTTATGATTTTGCATAAAAAGGCCAAGATAGTAAAGGACATCTCTCCCCCTTCAATTAGCTAATCTTCCCAGGCTTTTTCAAAAGCTTTGGTTGATTATTTTGGCTTTTCTATAACTGGTACAGGAGAAAAAGCCAATTCCTTTTTACCAACTGGATTTATGTAATAGGGCATAGTCTTATAATTCCTTAAACATATTTCTGTGGTGTAAGATTTCACAGATTAAAGTTCATTTCTTCAGATATTTTCAAGCAGATGTATAGAAAGTTCTTAAAAGTAAATGGCCTAAAATGTAAGATTTGTATCAATTTCAAACTGCTGAAGGTAGTAATAAAGAAACAAGTGATAGTGGTGAATGGAAGTGGTTCAGAAAGTAGTTGGCATGTTTTTAACTAAGGAAGTTCAGTACAAGATGGTTTGATCAAAATGCAATCACCTATCTTGAGAATGAGACAGAGAAGTATTCTCAAAAACTGGGTAATTATATTCAAGGAATCATGAAAATAAAACACAGCACCCCATATTAGAGCTTATCTTTATTAACATCACTGGAGAAAAAGCTGAATAAATCAGGTGGTCAGATGACCAGAAGCTGAATGGATTCTCCAAACAACCAGGGAGATATGTGGAATGGAGCTGAAGAAAATAAACCAAGAAAAGGAAACTGGCAGCCTGCTGAACAGTATGGGTTTTAATTCTCATCAATATCACCCAGTATGTTGAATGGTCAAGGTTGACGGAAGTTAAAGGAGAGCTGGATGATTGTAGTGTCCCTCCTATACATTAAACAACTCTAAATTTGGGCACATCTGAAGTTCAGTAAAGTAGTTCTGGATCACAGCTGTCAACGCTTTTTCATAAATAGTCTCAAATCTGAATAAGAATTTTAATGAGCTTCAAGCAATATGAGCAAAAATCTGGTCTAATGTTCATGAAGATCAAGTATTTCCATGATGATTAATGACAAGTTTGTTTTATAAGTTTACAGAGCCATCTAATTCAATCAGTTGAGTGGCTTACAATAAAAACCAATAAAAATCAGTAATACGGCATGACCTGATAAAACCAACCACCACCATCCCAGGGGGAAAAATCATCCCAGAGAAAAACTGCATGAAGAAAATGAGAGCAAGTGCCTGTTTAAACAAAATTTACCTGTATTTCTTTTTATTTCATGCCTTTTTCTATTTCTTACTCCCTTTTTGTACTTTGCTTAATATAGCTTACCCCAAAAGACAAGACAGTGATGAGTACGCCTACTGAAACTATAAGCTAAGGCCAAGGAAACCTTATCTTGGTGAGGACAACCAGCCCAGAACTTAGAAGTATATACAACTCCCTATAAAACACATTTTTCAGGGCTTCCCCTTTAGGACCAAAAGGATTGTTGTGCATCTTTTGAGGGATATCAATGTTATTCCAGCTATATCCCTCCTAGCAAAATAACAAAATCCTTGTTGAACACAGGCACGCCTCTTCTTTAAAAATAATAATTGAAGGATTCTCCATCTCTGCCCTCCCTTATGGCTTAATAGCCTGGGGCCTATACCAAGAGGAAAACAAGACAGAACATACTTTTATAATCATCACCTCCTCCCCTCAAGATTGACTATCAGTAAGTGATTACTTAATCTCCTTCTCTGCTTTAACCATACAGCATGATGGAGATTGGTCATTCCAGCTGCCTTCTCTTGGTAAAGGGCAGATGTGCAGTTTAATCTAGTTTAACCTAGATGTGGGGTTCTTTTGCAGAAGAATGTAACAGATTGTTCTCCACTCCTACTGAGTTTGGTGAAGGAGTATTCCCCAAAAAGGACTGCCTCAGGGAGTCCTGAAAAACAGGAATTAAATAAAAACTTCCCAGTTACATGGAACTTAACTTTTAGCATAGTTGTTATGGCATTCGGAAATCAACTGAAATCTTCACTGCCCCAGAGATCTAAAACAGTAGTATGGAATTGCTAGCCATTGCCCTAAATACAGGTAGTCCTCATTTAGTGTCTGCCTCATTTAGCAACCATTCAGAGTTATGACAGTGATGAAAAAGTAACTCAATCCTTGCATTTACGACCTTTGCAGGTCTGTAAAGCAAAGGAAAGCTAAAGTAAATGGTCAGAGTTTCTCTTAGCAATTGGTTTGCTTAATGACCAAGTTGCTGATCCCAGCTGTGGTCACTAAACAAAGACTACCTCTATAGCACACACAGGTTAGGAAATTCTGGGAGTTGCAGTTTCAACATGCCAGGAAGTTGCCAAGTTGGAGAAGGCGGCTTTACACAGACCTTGAAGTTTTTTTTTTTAATACCGTTGTAAAATTTATAGTTGTGTTCACATTGTGGCTTACTCAACCCAACTTTCTGGATTTGCAGATTACACTGAACCATGCATGTAAATGCAATCTATATGCATCAGAGTAGCTTATATTAACTAAACAGTTGCCATTCTTTTATTTGAACTTTACTTGAAATACAAAGAGCATGACCCTGAAAAAGTACTTAGAAATACCCTGCAATCTTAACCTACTCCAACCAGTTTCTGTATCTTATCTGTATCGCTAACATAAAGAACTGTACCATAGTTTTCTGGTGTTTTTATCCACAAGGCAGAATTAAGTATCACACCTCTTTGTAAGGGTTAGGGATACTTTCGGGATGTTGCACTGCATTGAGAAATTGCAAGAATCATGCTCGGCATTTAATCCAGAACCAATGGTGCTTTTACCATTCAAAATGCTTAATAATATTCCCTCTCTCCGTTTTTATTCTAACAAAAAGATGAAGAAACTATAGGCAATACGTGAGTTACAAAGGAAAAATAGATAATGTCAGGTCTCCTGTCAAATTTTGTAAATACAACAGGGTGAATATTATGTTCCCCCCCCATTATTTAACGTAATCCCATGAGCTGCATTCATCCTCTGCATCATCTTAACCTAGTGAATTATGAACTGTGCTAAAATTCACTCCCTCAACTGAGTATCTTCTCCAGCTCTTCAGACGAAAGGTGAACTACACAGGATGAAACGACGGGGTATCTCGTTACCAGGCAGTGTTTGAAAAGGCCGCAGCCAGGTTTATGCCTGTAACCCACTAACAAGGGATCAGCGGGTGGACTCTTGGGTGTTCGGGATTTCTCTCGCCTTTCCATCCGGCAGGATCCTGGGCCCGGTCCAACCTCCCCCGGCCTACCCCCGAAATCCAGAGACTCCAGCGGCTCCGCGGCTCGGCCTTACCCGCCCTCGATCCCGCCCGCCCTACCGCGCCGGCTCAATCCCTTCCCTGGGGAAGGCGGGCAGGCGCGTTCCAGCGTCTGTGTTGTTTCGAACTTTGGTGCCTGCGCCTTGGCCGGCAATCTGGCGCCTGCGCAAGTGCCTGGCTGGGCTCGGGAGGGAGTTGGAAGGCGGAGGGAGCCGCGGTTGTGCCGTGAGGGGAAGGGCGGCGTTCGGAGCCAGTTTCCTCTTTCCAGGGAGGCCCCCGGTGACGGAGGGAGCCGGGCCGAGGCGGCGAGATGGTCATGGAGTACTTCGTGGAAAGTTTTTGGGTAGGGGCTGCTTTGCTTGGGAGGGGGCAGCCTTTTGTTTTCTTGGAGGGCTGGGTTCTGTCACTCACAATAGCAGGGAAGGCAGCGAGATCCGGGCAGGCAGCTGGGCAAGCAGCAGCCGGCGGTGTCCCTTCGCGGCCCCTGCGCCACTTCGGAGCAGGGCTGGGGCCTGCCGTTGGGTCGGTTGCTGCGGCAGGGAAGGCGCCCGTTGGGACGGGGCTTTTTGTTCGCGTAGGAACTTCGCGGGAGCGGCCGGAGAAACGTCGGGGCTCGTCGTTGCGAGCGGCAGACCGACCGGAGCTAAGGGCAGCTCCAGGGACGTGCTCCTTCCTTAGGCCACTTTCTTGCAGGACTCGTGCCTAAAGTGTCCTGGGCTGGGAGGAAGGAGAGCACCTGCTCGGTCGCTCTCGCACCCGCCTCTGGGTCCGCCGGGGGCTTGCGGACGGCGATCGGCGAGGGAGGTTTAAGAGGCGACTTGGCCTGGTGGGCTGGGATTGTTTACTTTTCCTTCCTGCGCTCCCAGGAACGAAACACGAGAGCTTCGGTTAATGGAAGTGGATTCAGGATTCAGAATCCTTCCCCCCTCCCAGGTTTCCAAATGCCACCGATACTTCGCTAATGCTTTTTGGAATAACTACTCCGTAGCGTACGCTTAGCCCGTTGCCCTTCTCGGTTCTTTTTCTTACATTTATCATTGGTAAGTGTTTTTGAAATAAATACTGTAACTGCAAACAAAGCAAGAAAATAAAGGAAATGAATGGCAAGCTGAAGTTACCAGTTGAGAATTTATTTTTAAGTACATTGAGTACTTGAATTACACACTTGGAAGGATTAAGAGGCATTTTGTTTCAAAAATAAAGGCAAGTTGGTGCTTAAAATGAAGCACTCTGAAAGAAAACTTTAGGAAATTGTACACTTACCAGACTCCATACTTATTTGTGTGTGCATATTGGCCAGGAGTGAAACTATACAAGGGCATGCTTTTTGCCCTCTTTCTCTCTTCCCAACTTCAGAATTTAGGAGGAAAACTTACAAGGTAGTTATTAGTCATCAGGGCATACCATAATCTTAAAACTATGAACAGTCTGCTAACATAGACATTAACACTGGTTTAGTGTTAATTACTATCTTAAAATTATAATAGAAATGTCTCTGTAGAATTTCAAAAGGAGGACTGTGTATGTTTAGTTACCAGCTGAATTTGCTTTTCTCTGAAAACAAGTAGTTTGAAACTTTTGTGGGGCTTATGCTGGTTAAGATTGCAAATAGAATTAAACCCATCAAAATATAAGGAATCTAATGAAATTTTTAACTGAATAGACATGTCCATTACACTACAAATGCTGAAAAGTGAAATTTCATCAATTTTTTTATTTCCAAGTCTTATATATAAATAGTTGAGCTTTGAAGATTCTTGAGAATATTTTCCTTCCATAGAAATGACATTTACATTCTCAAATCTATTACATAATGATGCTTATTCAGAAACTACTCCCATTGAAATCAATGAGATACACTCCCTAGTAACTATAACTTGGCTATCTTTCTATTTTGTCAGTAGTGATGCAAAAGTTATATCAGCATCCACAAAATGACTGCTGCTGCTGCTTCTGCTGCTATCAACATATTAAAAGTACTAAAGGTTACTTTCTTGAAGAGAAGGTAGCTTTATTAGAGGTCACTGCAACATTTGTGGTAATTCTGCTGGCACTGATATAGTGAAGTGGGGTTATATTTCCAGAATCTAGACCTTGTGAAAGTTGGGGTGTAAATACTCCATTTATTCACTGTCATTTATTATGTTTTTGCTTTATGAATATGGACTGTTCCTGTATTTTTTTTTAACTGCCTTTGATTTGGCAACTACTGCAACTGTTCCTGTAGAAAAATATTTAGAAGGCATTGTCAATAATATGTAAGACATATTTTTCCTGCTTATTCTCAATAAACAGTAATACTGGTATCTCTCAGGAAAGTTCTTAACTCAGGTTTTACCTCAGCAGCATTACTGACCTTAGCTTATATTGGATGGGCAGTGGTTAGGAACTTCCAGGGTTATTATCTGGACCAGGAAATTTCAACAACAACAATAACATCAAAACCCCCAAAACATTCTGGAAGAAGGCAGTGGCAAACCATTTCTGTATTATTGCTGAAAAAACAAACATAATAGACATCTTTAGATCTTTACCAGAAGCCAAGTTTGACTTGAGACAGTCTTTACTTTTAAGCTTTTAATCCTGATATTCATATTTAAAAAATAAATATAAGCCTCTTCATGGATGAACAGGTATTGTGAAAGTGACTTCAACAGAATGGGTGAATTAACTGGTGAAAAGTATTCTGTTTGTATAAAAAGTTACTATGATTGGGTGAGAGGGCAGTGTGCAAGTGTTGGGATTAGAATTATATGGTCCATTTGCATTTTTTAAACCATAAGCAGAATGTGCAAATAGGACTTGAATTAATTTTAAGTCATTAATTTTTTTAAATTTTTAATTTTTTCTTATAGAGTTTAAAATACTGTTTAAACTTTCCAAAACAACTTAAATTGGGAAGAAAAAGAGAAGAGAGGGAAAAAAATTAAGATCTTCCTATTCTCTAGCAGTAGTTTGAAAATTTGAGAAAGGAATATTAACATTGTGGGAATGCTTTTACTATTTCCAGAATTGTCTTCTCTATGCTACATGCAGTAGCTACAAAATATTCATGTTTGGTGTTGACACCCCTAAATTCAGGCTCCCCCAACCTAAAAAATATATCTAGGGTCCTATTCCAGTTTATTGAGAGCTATGAATAGAACTGCTGTTTAAGATGTACAGCTACTATGTTCATTCTTAAAATTAATGAGTATAGATTCACTATTATTCAGCTGGACAGTTTCAAAGTTGTAACATCAGCTTCCTATTATTAAATACTTGAAGAGCCAGTAATTGGCTGCCTAATATTTTTAAGACTTATTTAAACATATAATGAGCACTAATACTTTTTAAAATTTTGTTTATCAATTATATTAAACCTGCTAAAGCTGATCCCAGCTAAACCAAATTATGGGTTTGAATTTGATTCTTGGAGTTGGAACAGGGAACTGCTACTTTTGCCAGTAATCCCTTCTTCCTGCAGCGCTTTGTTCCCTCAGGAAAAAAAAAATCTGTTATGAAAAATGAGAAACCTACCATGACAGTATGGGCCTGCCTGGTAAAAGCTGGGTCTTCCTATTTTTTCAGCAAGATCCTTCTGTAGAATTAAAAGCCTTCTATAGATGTGAGGAACCTTCTTTGAGGAATGCGGATGTTTGGATCCATTCAATTAAGTTTATTCCGTATTTTTCATAAATAGGCGGTAGGGATAACACACAAGTATGTATATAATTTGGACTGTTTTATGAATTTGTTGAACTATAAATCAGATCTGAACCAAAGCTGTTCAAGTGATTTGAACATTCCATGATTTCATAAATCTACAAGTGCTTTATTGATACCCTCTTTTCTTCCCATAATCAGTTTTCAATTCAGCTACCTTTGACTGTCCAATATACTTTTGAGATCTATTTAACGTATGTGTCAAGCCCCTGAACAGCAACATAACAATCAAGGTAACAAGATTTACACGGAGTTTAATAATCACATTTAATGGCAAGAAAAATGGGGTTAGGATACAGAATCTTGGAAACTGAATAAGTATAACTCCAGCCCTCATTTATCAGTGAATATATTAAGGTTGGACTTTATGAGTTATTTGAACTTCTTCCTCCCAGATTCCTTAACTGAAAGACCAATGCCACTTTTAAGAGATAAATGGAAATGTTTGTTAGTTATATTTTGAAATGTACTCTTTTCTTTGCCAAGCTTTGTGGGTTCTCTTAACATGTATAATGAATATGGGATTTATTTATTTTTTTACTTTTGCTTATCAATTAAGTCACACCTGCTATGATAAATCACAGTCAGTTTAGGTAATCAGAAAAGAACTTTTCTCTGGTAAAGAAAAATTATTCTTTGGATATTTTATGTCTAATGCATCAGATGCAATCTTTTGAACTGTATCTGCTTAAAATTTATGTAAAGACAAAAGTGTAGTTTCTGCTGTATATACATGTTTTCTATACCACATTTTTTTTTAATTCAGAGAGAAACTGTAATATGTAGGATCATTCAGATATGTTGTAGAAGAACATATAGAGTACAGAAGAGCCTATAGAGTAAAGGCAGGAGATCTTAAACCTCTTGTTCCAGAAGCCTCTGGGACTTTATTCCCTGGCTTCACCTTCCATCTTGGGGGTAATTGCTTTGACCATTACAGCTGCCAACACCGATCTTCCAGGGGAAACCTCATGTGGAATCCATCTTCCTAATTCCAGGGTATTTGTAAGAGATATAACTTTCACAATTTGTTCTGATGTTTAAAAGGTGGAATTGCAGGTGTGTGTGTATTTAAGAAATAGTATATAATTCAACCTCCTGGCCATATCACTTAGAAGCATGTGGCTAGGGATTCAACTCTCCGTCCTCTCAGGTGGGCTAAAGTAATCTCACAAGGTATAAAACCATTTTTTAAAAAAATAAGATCAAAACTGTGGAACAGATAGCTACAAATAGTAGCTGGAGTAGGATCTTGGAAGAGAGATTGCTTCTTGGATGATTCTGAGATAGGTATAAAAAGGCTGATATACTGTAACACAAAATTACCTATTTATACAGAGAAATAAAAAGAGACAGTAGCTTCTTCACCTCTTCATTTTCAGACTTGGAACAATTGTTGGGACTCAAAGGGTATTTAGATAAACTGTTGGCTTGTTAGATAATACAAATGTTATGGACATAGTATGAATTTCAGCAAAGTATTTGGCAATTACTTTTGTTGACTACAAAGTAATGTAAGGGCTAGATGATACTAGTAAAGGGAGATCCACAGCAGATTACAGTCATATGAAACAAATGTTCATTAATGAATGTCTGTTATTTTGGAGACAGTTCTTGATAGCAAAAGTATCTTTCTTA